GGCAAGCATTTCTAGGCTTTGCACTAAATTTAGGATATTCTGCATCAAATGTCTTTCATTGTGGAGAATCGGCTGGATGTCGTAGCATGCCATCATCGTTCCTCTTATCATGATGTCAAGTTAAATTTTTTGCATGCTCTGCATGTCACGCTCCGAAATAGGGGATGGTGAAGTGGAGGCTCGTTTAGAAGTTAAACATGATTAAGGGAGTAATTAAGCGTTTGAAAATATGAAAATCAATTTTAAAAGTAAAACATTAAAGAAGTTTCTAAACAAGCCCCATATTTTGATGGAATTGGATTACGAGAAAGTGATGGGGACTTTCACAATTCTCTGATAAAACAAGTTCAAAATTGAGCCTCTGTCATCATTCAGGGTTTCCCCCACAGGATATTCCATATTGTACATACATGAACATGTAAAAAAACAGTTACAGACATCAACCACAGTCTAGAAATATTTAGGGTTACAATTCATAGAATATACAATCCATACATTATAATGAGTCAAAGATGGTTAAAAGGTCCTCACTTGAACCTCTTAATCAATATTTCAGACGGTAGCAACTCACTCAGCTACTCAGCACTGCTTCTAGCATCACTTGAGAAGGGTTAAATACATTGAAACAGAAGAAAAATGAGCGGAAGGCCAAGTAGGATATATATATATATATATATATATATTTAGAAAACCTTATAAATAAATAGAAATGCACAGTTCCAACACAGCAGCCGGAACCAAACATCATTTTTCTCAAAGGAAAATATAAACTTAAATTCTGTATTACAGGCATCAGTAAGTAATTTATAACTATAATAAATTACTTACACAACCAAAAGCACAAGCCTTATCACCAACGTAGTGGTCCGGTTTGGGTTTCGGGTATTGCCCCTAAAGATACGATCTCCATATCCTATCTAAGCCATCAACGGGCTTACCAATTCTCAAGATATCTTATCTTAAGAAATTATTCATTAAAACTTTAAATTAATTCATTATGAGACCAATAGCAATAATCAAGCTATTGTTTTAAATTACTTTTTCCTTATCTAACATGTGTTATCTTTAAAACATTTCCAAAAGCCAAGACACTTTAAAACATGCTAACAAGGATATGGACAAGAATATCCTACCTTTCTGGTAGAGTTCTACGGCTAGCTCCTCGTCGTGCTAGCCCGACTTCCTTCGAAGCTTAGCACTTGCCTTTCCTCTAATCCCGCTATCAAAACAATATTCTATGATTTAGACTCCATCATCACAACCAAGTCAAACTCCATCATGTATAAATGTATCATCCTAGTGCGCCTTTACTTAAAATCAAAGTTCATAAACAATTTCATATTTCAATACATGATTCTTTGAGAATTGGAACCTACAAAAAAAAAAAAAAACAGAATAGAATAAGGAGTAATGTGGCTAATCCAGTCACTTGAGTTCCCAAATGAAGTTAATTTGGGTTCTCCATTGAAATTTGAAGTCAAAACAAGCTTTTAAGGAATTTTTGGGCAAGAACATGTACACACCGGTCGACTGGTGACAGAGAAATACATTTCCACCGGTGACCGGTGGTGTGGTGACCGGTCGACCGGTGCAGTTGACCTGTGGGAGTCTAGCAGGCCGAGCAAAAATGGCCGAATCACGAGGAAAAGTGCCAAAACCTACAAATTTGAGTTCAATTTTGAGATATTCTCAAAGAAAATCAACAAATCCAGTTCCAATCAACAAGTTAGGCTCAAAGAATCAAAATCCCCAAATTCAAACATGATGTCAACCTCAAATCATCTCAAAAATCAAGTTTAAAGTAAGGATTCCTCAACCAAACCAAAAACTAACTCCATTAAAGTAATACTCTGAAATCAAGAGTAGTTTTTCAAAGAGTTTACCTCAAATCCTTCCTTTGCAAGGAGAACTCTTGGAAATCTTCTGTAATTCAAGCTTCTTGAGAGAAAGTAACAATTTTGAGAGAAAGAAAGGGAGAGAGAGAGAAAGAAAGAAAGAGAGAGTGGCTGAAAGAGAGAGAGTGGTTGAAAGAGAGAGAGAGCTACGAGAGAGAGTGAGGAAAAGAGAGAGAAATAAGAGAGAAGAAAAGGAAAAGAAAAGATAAAGGAAAGAAAAAAATAGACATAAAAAGATATTTAGTAAAGTAGATCAGAAAATGTGTCTCCACACACTTCTGAGGTGAAAATATAACTACTGAAAAGTAATTGAAATTCTTTAAAGATATTTAATTAACATAATTAATTAAGAAAAATCAAATTAGGCACACTAATAAATTACAATTATCATAATTAAACGTATTTAATTTTTAGAGGTGTTACACTGCATTTTTATACAATAACTTTAACCGTAGTTCCATTGGAATGTACCATAACTTTAACCGCATTCTTAGAGGTGTTACATTGCATTCTTACTTTCTTTCCCCTAGACTCATGGCACACCGGACACGCGTCAAAGTCTTCACACTCTTTTCGGTATAAAATGCAATCATTCGAGCAAGTATATATCTTCTTATACTCCATCCCTATAGTGCTCAAAGTCTTCCTACCCTCGTACATACTGCCCGACACTTGATCTTATTATCCGGAAGCGCATCTTTTAAAAATTCTAAAAGTCCCGTGAAACTTGCATTGGACCACCCACCCAAGTCCTTCAAGTTTCACAATTTAATCAAACCGGACAATTTGGTATACTTCTTACACTAATTATACCACGGTGTCTCCGCCTCAACCATCATCTTCTCAAACAATTCCGGTCGGTTCACAAATTCTTCCTCCAAATCATTCCTTATTTCAACATGTTGCTACCATCTTCTTCATGATCCATATAAGCTTCCTCATGTCCCCTAACCGTCGATGATGAAGTAGGAACATCTTCACCGTGCCATATCCATATTTGATATGTTCGATCAATCCCATTTCGGAACAAATGAAATCTAGGACCATCGGTTGATTGTTTCCTAATCTTCACTCCTTTTGTTGTTTTATTGCTGATTTAATTTGCGTATGTTTTTAAATTAGTTCATTTTGTGGACTATTTGATTTTTGTTTGATTAGGGTTTTTATTTAGGACTTAGAGTAAAAATTAATCAAACAATTGTTTGGATCAGATTTGTTCCTTAGTCACCACCGTTTACGTGTCAATTCACGTCAACCAGATGCAAGCATTAAGCTTACGGGAAGGATTTATTGATCAAACTATGAAAAAGTGATTCAAATTCTAGATCAGCCTTGAACAATAAGATCCAAAACTTAAATATGACCACACAAATAATAAATAAAGAGAAAAATGTTGAACTTATCCTTAAAATGCACGAGTCTAGATTTTTATCTCTTACTCTTAATTATTACCCCTTTGACTAATCTAGTTATTTGACTAAAAATAATATTATTCAAAAGTAAGAAATAAAAATCTAGAGTTGTCTCCGTTCCCATAAATAAAGCATACAAAAACAAATTCAATGAAAACAACTAAGCAACAAAAAGATAAGCATATTGTAAAAGCATTAGTCTGTTTTGTGAAATTTTTTATTTTGGTTTAACTTTATATTGAATTTTTATATTATTTTTTTAGTTTAATTTATATAACTTTGAAATGTATAGTTAGAATATATATATATATATATATATGGGAAATGAGGTGGGTAAAAAGAATGTTTCATAATAGGGAATCTTTGATCACTTTTTCAATGGGAAATCTCCGATTCCGACCCACCACTCTTCATGAAGAGAGAGGAGAGGGGATGAAGATGGTTTTAGAAGTCAAAAATGGCAACGAGAAATCATTCCCACTTACTATCTCTCCTCATTGCCATCCCTAATCAACAATATCATAAAAAGAGCACAATTAATGGTAGAACCAAAATCTCGTTGTGCGTTTGGTGTAGATGAGATAAGAAAGGTGATTAGATCAACAGCTCTAATGCAATTTCAAATTTTTGTTGTGTTAATGTCAAAATTTGACACTCGGTTAAGAAATTATTTTCCAAGGCAATGCCACAGTTAATGTTAAATTTGAGATATGCTATGCTTGGCGCCACATTTAATACCTAGTATAAAATATGTCAAATTCTTGCCTTTAATTGTTTATTGGTTGATATATTGACCACCTTATAATTGTTATATTATAATTTCATATATATATATATTATTAGAAATTTTAAAATTTATTTTTACAATTACTAAAACTTAAAAGATATAACAAAACTAAAAATAACATTAAAATGGAATTATATATTGGAATGCACAATAAAATTACGTACTAATTAATGTATTAATTTTGTAATTTGTGTGTGTGTGTGTCAAATATAGTATTGACATTTATATTGAAGATGGTGCTTAAATAGTCACTTTTATGATAAGTGGGGAGTGAGCATGATGGTTGAAAACTAGACTAAAAGTAAATACTTTTGTGAGAGAAAAACATTGTAGCAAAAAAGGTAAATTTAATTTTTTTTATGAGAGAAAACACTGTAACAATAGAATTTGAATTGTACATTGAGTTGTGAAAAAACTAGGCTTTAGTTTGAAGTTCCTTACTACTTAAGTAGCGTTAAAATTTAGAAGCTATATGTCTTTAGATAAGACGAGCAATCTTTCCCGCTAAAAATAATATAATTTGTATAAATAAAACTTAATTATTCCATTGAAGTGGGATAATACTTACTATTACTAGCACAAAACACTGGGGAAAGAATTTTTATTTTCAAAGTGAATGACATATTTGATTTGAAAATTTAATATTTAAAAACTAGTAGATCATTGTTTTTAATTCACAAAAATATAGTCCAAGGGTACGATCGAATATACCAATTACCACATGATCACCAATCACATGTAAAAAAAATATACATTAAGCATGCATAATCCAATCTATTATAATCCAAACCAGTACTCTTAAGCAAAAGCCTTATATAATATCCCAAGCATCAAAGACATCCATTATTTATTCATATATAGTACGGATATAATACCCTTTCCATAAACAGTGGCAACATGCATATATCACGATAATATCAAACTAATAATATCTCCATAATATTTGAAGGATATTTCAGTCTCTCCCAGACACTGGTTCTTTTCCTCTCTTGTCCAACTCTGAAAAAGAACGTATGCAATTAATAAATTCCTAATATGATACGCAACAAGAAGAATATTTACAATAATCCAGAAATGGTATGTATATATATATATATATATATGTATATGTAATACACACATACATACCTCAGTCAATTTGTTCAGCTTGTCCGTGACATTCTGCAACAGTTGGGAAACCTCACCATCCCATTTGTAAAATTCCAACTCCTTGTTGTTCATTATCTTCTCAGATAGCTGAATTACTTAAACGTCATTTTATTTCAGAGATATAATTACATGAAAAAGATCACATAGCTCATACTTAAAAGATTTCAGGTGCAGATTATTAACCATTTAATTTTACAAATCAATATCTAAGAGCATATATTTAAAACTATTTAAATATATTTTGTGGGTAACTAAGTTTAAGGTGACACAGACAGATTTTTAGTTCTTTATCTATTTTGTTTGTAGCACTTCTATGACAAGGAGTTCCTGACAACAATGGAGTGCATTTCTAAAATATCATACAGAAATAAAAAGTGTACAATTTTAACAAAATTTTACGAATTGCGGTTTAAAAATATATATATATATATATATATATATATATGTTGACGGTGATTTCTCGTCAACAAAAACAGGCCGGGTACCTCCGGATTTCCCGTTGGATTACCGGCCTTAGTGATGAATGTGTGTGAGAATTTGTTGGTGGGATGTATTGTGCGTAAATAAAGGGATATGCACAAATAAAGAACACAAGAGATTTTATAGTGGTTCACTCTATAAAATCAGAGCTACATCTATTGTTGTTGTATATTTCTTTTGAGAGGATTACAATTTACATCAATTGTTCTGTGTTCTCTTGGATCTCAACCCCTTTCCTGTATGGGGTCTTGCCCTTTTTATACTGGGAGCTTCCTTCGTTGGGTTGATTTCCTTTGTAGGTAGAAGCACTCAAGTGCTCTCCCTTTTTAGGCCTAACCGTAGCCCACTAATCACTTGGAGCACTGTTCACTCAGCCAATTAGTCTTCTATTACGGCTCTGTGCGTTCCTGTAACCCTTTTCTGTCACCTGTGGGGCGGTTTAAGGGTTCGCAATAAATGCCTGTCTTGCAGTCATCCCCCACTTTTGTACGCAACTTGCCACGTCAGACCTTTCCTCAAAGAGCATTCCCCTCATCGCCCGTGTTGCTTAACCCAACTGTCCTTCTTGGCTGTTGGTTCCACAGTCGAGGGATTTCTATGTTTTAAGGTTGACGGTACGATCTGTCGACGCCAGAAGGAATCGACGCCCTAAGTTGGACTTTTCACTTGGGTTTTTTATAACGGAACCGGAGGGAGCCCCAGGCATCGAGGGTTGTTGCTTTGCGGGGAGTAGTTAAGGTTACATGTCATATTATCGTTCTTCCACATGTCCTTCACATTTTCCTACACAACAATATATATATATATATATATATATATTTAACAAGATTAAATAGTGCACAATTTTATCAAATTTTTACGGCGGTTAAGTGATATTTACTACTAGCACTGCTTATTTATTTATTTATAACCTCATCACACAATCTCACAAATGACTCAAAAAAAAAAAAAAATGAAAAGAAAAAAAAAAAAAAAAATTAATTGACAACCTTTAAAATGAAAAGAAAAAAAAAAAAACAGCATTAATTGCATACCTTTTCGCCATTATTCGACCACCAGCAGTATGACCAAAGTACAGATTGTAGAAGTGACACAGAATTAGATGAGAATCCTTGACTATTGATAATTCCTTGAGATAATTAGCATAATTAACACCAAGGTCAGAAGGTTCTGGTAAAACATGGCCTTGATCTTTGATCCACTCCAAATCCTTTGCCAATCTTTCAGATCTTTCCAATCCTGTGTTTCTCAACTCAACATCTAATAAAACGACACAACAATCAAAGGAGTTAGGAAAATAAATAAATAACAACAAGAACAAATGGATGAAAACTGAAAACTGCGTTTGTTTAAAATTTTTAAGAAACATCAAACCAAACTAAATATCCATGCGTTTGTTTAATAGGTTCCAACTACTATTTAAATGTACAAAACTAAAAAGTAAACGAGCACAATGTTACATACAATGCTAGTAGATTGTAACGATTCTATGAATTATCACATTGAATGAAAGAAAATTTAGTTGATTTAGTTTGTTTTGACAAAAATTTGGGTTGATCTTGTAAGTTAACTATAAATCTTTTAAGCTTTTCACAAGCTAAAGCTTTATTTCAATTACAAAAATATAAAACAATAATAAACTATAAGAAAAATTAACATGTATTAAACTAAAGAGAAGTGTGAGTGTGTATGACAAGGGAAATATTTTTTTAACAAAAATTGTAATAATATTTTGGTCGATTTTCATAATCTGAAATATCTAAAACTCCTACTAGTTAAATTAACATAAGTTGAAAACTGATAAAACCAAGCGAATTAAAAATAACAAATAATTATTGGTTTGATTCAGATTATTTCTTTTGATCGGTTTATGCGTCTAAACACCTTGCTTAAAGAGACAGTCATTCGAGGAGACTGTGATTGTGCCGATTCCATGAATTGAAAGATAGAAAATAAAGTCAACTGATCATATTCAATTGAGTACAATAAAAAATAAATGGTGTGGATAATATATATATATATATATATATATATATATATTTATGGTGTGGATAAGATTAGATCTTATGAAATTTGCAGTGATCCATATCTTTATTTTTTTTTTGGTTCCCAAAAAAAATGTTTATTTTTTATGTGATGATGATCAATAATTAATGCTTTATAGCACTCAAATAAATGAAAAAATGTTAAAATATCCCGATCTTCGTCACAATTCCCGAATAGTCCAACTAAGTTAATAAGGACTAGCATCTCAAGTTCAAGTTGCTTTACTATAATTGTTAAGTACATGCCAGTTTAATATGTTTGGAATATATATATAATACGTGAATTAAGCCAGCCAGCCAAAATCTAGCGCAGGTTGTTTAGATTCTCTTTTCTTATATATAATATAATATTTTTCTTCTTTCTTTACAGTACGTGAATAAAATATGCACCCATAATATAGTTGCAAATTTTTAAATCACATTATATTTTATTTACTTCTAAGGCAATTCTAACATAACTGTTCAGTACGTAAAATGAAAAATATCTTTATCAGATATCATCATAGTATCTATATCAAACTCTTTAATAACTTTTATTAAATTATTACTTTTTTCTTAATCTCATACTATTAAAAGCTGTATTCCATTGGCATTATACATAAAACCCGATTCTAAAAAATTAAAAAGAAAAAAGAATTATACATTTTTAATATGTATTCTGCCCCAAAATTCTTCTTTAAAATATAAGTTTGAGATATACATAGACTTTCATGAAAGGAGGGCTTTTAGGGTTGGGGTATCTATTATTAATAGTGCAGGTCTTAAAACGTTTGATCTGATTAAAACAAAATCAATATGAGAAAACATAAGAGAATTCTATGATAGGACATGAAAAATATCCTATCAGTAAGGCGATAATACTTTTGTCTTTTGGTGGTTTGACAAGAATATCGTTTTGATGCTGCAGTCTCAACCGTTCGAAAACAATTCGGTTACCAAGGAAGACAAGCCACTATTCATCAACATAACAGGCTCGGAATTCTTTGTACAAATCAAGGAGCCAAATTTTCTTATAGCGTTGATACTTAAGGGTCAATCTGACGCTACTATTGAGATCCTCCTAGGGTTCAAAAGGTACTTGATGATGTTACTGATTTATCTCCTAATGAATTACCTAACAAAGTTACCTTCTATGCGAAATATTCAACACCATATTGATTTATGTGACGACCCTTATTTTTAGTCATCACTACTACGTTCATACTTAATTCATATCTTAACATTTACTATTTTAAAACCATAGACTCTTAAAATTTGGGTTACTTTTTTTTTTTCTTACTAGTGAAATAGATACTAATATACTTTGGCAGAATAAAACTTCAATTAGTATTCGTGGTAAAACTTGAACATTAAAAGTACTTTTCCAAAAACATTTTAAACTTCTTAACATTGAATAATTTGTAGGTAAAATTCTTTTAAAACTTTGAAATTGTCTTCCCTACACGTGGTCGTATATTTAACCTATCATTTGCATACCATTCTTGTTCATATGCCATTATCATGATGGCATTTTGGATATATTATTATACTTTGTGACTCGAGGTTACTAAGCAAAGTCTCGTAGTCTCATATACATTATTGTCATTACATATCTTACTTATTCTTACATTCAAAAGTACTATTTACTTTATATACATTGCAGCGTTTTCAAACCCGTAGTGCGTCCATCGCCCACTTGCCCACATTCCACTGCTTCATCCTATCTGCACTCCCAGCAAATAGATTTCAGGGAGCCAGTGCCTTACCCGAGCTTCCTACAACACGAACAAACGGGATGAGCTTTCGCTTAGCAAGTAACAGCAGTTAACAACAAATACAAGCAGTAAGGCATACCCATATATGCATTCATGTCATACACCCTAACACATTACGTAAACATTTTGTTTTATACTTTCTTTTCTTTCATTTCATTCTTCTTTACAACTTTTGATGTTGTGTCATTCGTTTCTTATATCTTTTAATTTTTATATGCCCCGTACCTGTTGTACCGTTGCGCATATACCCAAAGAGGAGTGGGGGAGCTACCCAAAAACCAACTCACCTATGGTTTTATTCATAATAACCTCCATTGCAAAGGCCGATACAAACAGTTTTATTAACTTCTTATCGTTTGTCATCTTTATTTATTTATCACCTTATTGTCATTATCTCACATTATGACAGTAATTTTAATCTTTTCATCTTACTGTCATTTTCTTTTCTTTTCTTATTATGATAGTAATTTTAGTTTTATCGTCTTATTGTTATATTTTCTTATTATGACAGTAATTTTACTCGTATTAGTATATCTTTAAGCATTCTTACCAGTTTCCTATGAAATTGGACTTTAATCAAATGTTTGACTTTTGTTGACTTTGGCTTTGACTTTGACTTTGACTTTGACTTCTTAGTAGATTAAAATTATACTGCTAATCCAAGTCCATAAGCATAATCAAAGCAACATATAAGATTCAGGAAACATCTTGCACATAATAACATACAACGAATTCACAATATGCACAATTTTGTGCAACACAAGGAAATAGGCTTGTTCATGATATAGACATAGGAAAACTGTTGTACTTACAGAAGTTTCGCTAAAGTTGCGACTTTCGAGTCACTAGTAACTTTACCGCTTCGATTGCTTACCGATTCTATCATATGAATTCATAATCGTTAGATTTATAATTTAAGACCAGTTATTGGAATACAATTTGACTTGAATTTGTGGTTTCGTAAATGTTATTTTCTTAAAGTATGTATGTCGTGTCTATAATCCTTAAGGAGATCTATGATTTCATGTTCGGTATCCGGACCAAAACATCTTTTATATCACCAATGTGCACCAAACTCGTGCACATTTGGCCTTAAGTCACATAATGGACCTATTTTATAAATCAGCCCGAAACTGATGTCTAGGGTCGTTTTTGAGAAAAATGCTATTTTACAAAAGTTGTTCGGAACAAAATTTTCTTCAACTTGATGTTGGCTACTTTTTAAAATTGAAGCTTCTATCTTGGTTTTCTAGCCAAAACAACACCAGATTCCAATTTCCAAGTTAATAAATCTAGTTTTCAATTTTGGTCCGAAACTGAGAATTTTCATCGTTTTAGATCCGTTTTATCCATGATTTCAACCTTTCAAACACATCACATAATCATTCTCATTCCTTTTCATCATTATAAACATCATAATCCCTATGGTTCCTTCATTTTTCTCACAAAATTTCCCCTAAATAAAAATGCTAAAAATATAATCCAATAACCGAAAATTTAATCTTTAGACGATAGGTTTTTTTAGTATCATTCATAACCATAAGCCAATCATCATTCTTAGTAAGATTTTTCCATGGATTACACTATTCATAGACGTGCAGCCAAGGTAAAAAATGAGGAGAAAAATTGAAATTTTACTTTACAAGATTGAAGAACAAGTTCCGGTGACGCTACTCAATGGTAGTTTTCCGCCGATTTCGATTTGAACTCAATTTTCTTACTTTGGGAAAAAGAATTTCTCTCTTTCTTTTGCCGAGTTCTCTCTGTTTTCATGCATGAAAAATGGACATTTTCCTTGTATTTTTCCTTCTAAAAACCGGACCTAAAAAGAAAGGAGGGACCTAAGTGTAATTTTAACATTTTCTAGGCTCCTTTTTACAAAGAAAAGTCAAAATATATCTTGCTTCTTCACTAAGTTGGCCGGCCATTTTCCTTACTTCCTTTTCATGTGTCCTAATCTCAGCCCTCCATCTATTTAATCACCTTAAATCTCAACCATTTATTTTTAATAATTATCTTATTTCAGTTAAGTTTAATTCCTATCTGGTGCATGTTTTATCCGCGTTTTTCAGACAATTGGTCAACTTGGTCAACTTTGCTCAACCTTGACAAGCTTTTCATGAGTGACCTATTGGTCAACTTTTGGTCCACAAATTGTGACTCGGTCAACCCTAATCGGTCGAAAATCTTAATTTTCTCGGTTCGGCCTTCTGAATCCCCTTTTTCGTCTGTTCCTCATTCCGATTGTTTCTAAAACCTTAAAATTGATGTTTTTCAATTCATTTTCGTTCTTTAAACTTAATATTCATGTGTTTGTCCTCTTGTGGGATTATCACAACATTCCGTACCTCTTTCCTGATTACAGTCTGAAATTCGATAACTATATCACAGTTAAGAAATTTCTAACTTTTAACTTACACTTTGCTATTCAATATCAATATCCACAAATACTTATAATAAAAGTATTCATATTTATAATACAGAGAATTTCAGAAAATTTTATTTTATACAATAATTTCTCCGACAAATTTCCCGGTCATGACAATTTAACCCGGAGCAAGCTTGCCTAATTTGCCACATCGTATGGGTCCAACTGAGCATGAAGAGTTGCAACGACAAGTTAATGACTTGCTTGATAAAGGCTTGATTCATGAGAGCATGAGTCCTTGTGCAGTCCCAGCCTTACTTACTTCGAACAAGGATGGAAGTTGGAGGATATGTGCGGACAGCCGTGCAATCAATAAGATCACTATCAAGTATCCGTTTCCCATTCCACGTCTTAATAATATGCTTGACAGATTGAAGGGAGCTGTGGTATTCACTAATCTCGATTTACGTAGTGGATATAATCATATTCGCATTCAGCTAGCTTGGAGATGAGTGGAAGACATCCTTCCAGACTAAAGATGGCCTCTATGAATGGTTGGTGATGCCATTTGGCTGCCAAATGCCCTTAGCACCTTTATGCGCCTGATGAACTAAGTTCTTCGGCCGTTTATTGGGAGATTCGTGGTGGTTTACTTTGATGACATCCTTATTTATAGTCGGGATGAGGAGGAGCATTTGACACATCTCAAGGAAGTTCTTTTAGCCTTACGAGCTAATATACTGTACATCAACCTTAAAAAATGTAGTTTTATGACTAACCATCTTTTGCTTCTCGACTTTATAGTCAGAAAAGATGGTATTCAAGTTGATGAGGTGAAAGCGAAAGCAATTCGGGAATGGCCAGCCCTTAAAATCGTCCGTTAAGTGCAAAGCTTCCATGGTTTAGCCACTTTCTATACAGGCGCTTTATTCGAGGATTTAGTACAATCATGGTGCCTATTACAGATTGTTTGAAGAAATGCCAGTTCCGATGGGGCAAAGTGCAAGACGACAGCATTGAATTGATAAAAGAAAAGTTGTGTTCTGCACCAGTGTTAGCACTCCCCAATTTTGAGAAAGTGTTTGAGATTGATTATGACGCATCCGTTCTGGGAATTGGGGCTGTTTTATCCCAAGATGTTCGTCCAGTGGAGTTTTTCATTGAGAAGATTAGTGAACCTCCACAAAAGTGGACTACTTACGAGCTTGAGTTTTATGCATTTGTTGGAGCTTTGAAGCATTGGGAGAATAATTTTATTCAATGGGAATTTGTGGTATTTACGGATCATCAAGCTATAAATCGAATGCATGCTCGATGGATTACTTTTTTACATAAGTTCACTTTTGTTATCAAGCATAAGTCTGGCAGATTAACAAGGTAGCAAATGCGTGGAGTTGACGTGCCTCTTTACTAGCTACAATCAGAATGGAAGTGGTGGGATTTGACTCTTTACGAGATACTTATGCTGCTGATGAGGATTTTGGAAGCATATGGGCGCGATGCAACAATAAGGAGTTTGTTAGGATCCTAGGAGTTTTTCTAAGATCGAAGCAACCAAGAGATATTTTCTGAATCCAAACTCAACGTTTTTATTACTTTCCAATGGCAATTACACTCGAGGCTCAGATTTAGCCTCGGAATCCAAGATGGAAGAAGAAGAAGAACTAACAGAAGGAAAATAAGGAAAATAGGAAAAATAAGATATTGAAGGATTTTCGAGTAATCCTCAGACTCCCTACAAGTTGCTCATCACTCAATTCGTGCCACTCCCTTCCCACGATCTCCCCTCATATCCCCTTCGCTCTAACCGTCTGTTCCCAGTTCCCCAAGCTGGCCTCCCACTCCCATCCGCTGACCCACTTCACTTAACCCTGGGCCTGGGTCCACTTCAATCAGTTGTGGGCCCTCCCCTTTTTCCTTCCTGGCCCTTCTCACATATACTTGCCTCACCGGGGGCCTAACATCACTTCCCCCTTCGAAGACAACCTTGTCCCCAAGGTTAAAATCTGGAAACTGCTCCTGAAACACATCCAAGAACTCCCATGTAGCCTCCCATTCCTGCAAGCCCTTCCACTGAACCAAGATCTCAGCCACTCGCTTTCCCCCCAAGGCTGTCCAACGACCCCGGATGACACTTAACGGCTCGACCTGCAGTTCCAGCTCATCCGACAGGTGAGGTGGAAGGGGCTGACACCTTGAATCCATACCCCTGAATGGTTTGAGCTGGGAAACATGGAAAACGGGATGTATCCTCGCGTCCACCGGTAGTGCGAGACGGTAAGCTACTTCCCCAATCTTCTCCAACACCTTAAAAGGATCGTAAAATCTAGGAGCAAGCTTCTCGTTTGGTTTCCTAGCCAAGGATTTGAGGCGATAAGGCCTGAGTTTGAGGAGAACTTGGTCACCCTGCTCAAACGACAGTTCCCTACGGTGCACATCGAAAAATTTCTTCATACGTTGTTGCGCCCCCACGAGATGCCCTTTTAAGACGTCCAAGAGCTTATTCCACTGTTTCAACTGTTGGTTGACATCTTCCACGGCTGAAGGAGAGTCTTGGAACCGGTGAATGGTGGGGGGTTCCCGGCCATAGACCACTTGGAAAGGAGAGTGCTTAGCCGATGCGTTAAAATTGGTGCTGAACCAAATTTCAGCCCAAGGCAAGGACTGCGACCATAATCGGGGCGTGTCACTTGCGAAACAGCGCAGGTACACCTCCAGGCACCTATTTACGACCTCTGTTTGGCCGTCCGACTCGGGGTGATATGCTGAACTGCGGCTCAGTTTCGTGCCCTGCATACGGAATAGTTTGCGCCAGAAGAGACTCATAAAGAGTGGGTCTCGGTCAGTGACAATGGAGGCCGGAATGCCATGGAGCCGCACCACTTCTCGCAGAAATAATTCAACGACTTTCTTGGCTGTGAAAGGATGAGATAGAGGCAGGAAATGGGCATATTTGGACAGCCTATCCACGACAACCAGGATGGTATCGGCCCCT